TTTCTTAAGCAAAAATATGATAGATAGATAGATAGATAGATAGATAGATAGATAGATAGATAGATAGATAGATAGATAGATAGATAGATATCTTAAATGAAAATTGTTTCTTTTTCATCCCTCTGTTATGCAAACAAGTTATCATTAACATGGATAAATTAATAGATAATGTTTTAATAATAAAATGGTCAAAAATGAATGTAATAATAATAAATACATGATAAATCATGTCAATAAATAACTTAATTCGATGCAAATTATATACTTAAAAAAGAAACTTAAAAAAGAAACTTAAAAACTAAAATCAACGCAAGGTCTAAGAAAATACTAGTTAGGTAATCGTTACATACTGAATGTGGGCCAGTACTTTTAACAGGAAACACAGTTTATACAGCATATCTCAGTTTTATTTTGAAAGTTCCACCGGAAGTGTATAGTGTATATTCACGCGCGCTTAGCTACGGTCACACACAGACAGGGAATTCGCTGTCAAGAGGGTGGATGCCAAGAGCTGGTGAGCTAAGCTTTGATTAAGTTAACGTGTAGTTTAGATTTTTGGTGGTGCTTTATCGAAGCTGTCGGATGTCCTCGCGGTTGAAGCGTTAGACCTTAAATAACTGTTTCCTGAGCGTCAGTATTAGCTTGTATTTTTCCCTCCCAGCGCCTACATTCGTGTCGCAGAGGGTTAGCTGATTAGCTAACAGTTGCTCGCTTAGCTTGGTGGCTAGCCTGCTTAGTACCGATACATTCCTCATGCGTCTATTATCGGACGCACCTCACTCAGCCAAGCGCACTTAAGCTTTTCGCTTATGTCATAAAATAATATATCCGCTGGAACTTTAAAATTGTCTCCCTTCAGTATTTTAGATACACCCTAAGTTTGTGCTAGTGTCGACAACCCATATCTTGGTACCCAAGACCCCCAGCAAGATGCCTCGCTGATGAGGCGCCTCCTCGGTGGCTAGCAAAAGAGGAGCGGTTCGCGCTCTTGTTTATTTTTGTTGTCACTGCCACACACTGCCTCAGATTTCATCCACATCTTGATTACGTTTAGCCCAAGCTGGGCAGAAAATATGGAGAGGATGTGTCCTCCCCAGCAAGCGACCTAACTGGCCGTTGTGTCCGATAACGGACCTGGGCGATCACGGTCTGAAGTTATGTGCCACTGTCGGTAACGACCAACCGAGGAAAAAACGATGTAGATTAACGTTATTCCAGCGGGTGACAAAGACTGGGGCTTTTGGGGTGTAGCGGTGTCGTTTTGTTCAAATAAAGTGTATTTGGTTGAATTTTATTTTTAGTACATCAGGCGGGTGTTGGGGCTTGGGGTGTCCACCGGGCGAGTGAACGGACCTAGCGGTGGAAGGGACCGGCTGTGTAGGCCGTGGCGTTCCGTTGTCAGCCCCTCTCCACACGGTTGTCCTCCGCAGCAGCCTTCCCGGCGACACTGGGCGTTAAAAGGCCGTATTAATAGCTGCGACATAGTGTTCCCATGACAGGAGCCATGACATCCCAGCGAGTTTCGGTGAAACCGGCTTGTAGCGCTTGCGGGGATTCTCTTACTCTCTCTCACCTTCCTGCTAAATAGTGATCTTGTCTCTAAATAAAAGTTGTTGTTTTTTTGTTTTTTGTTTTGTTTTTTACAACAGATTCAATAGATTGTGTTGCAGTAAGCTAAATGTTTGGGGTTAAGCTGTAGTATTGGTTGCTGGGTTCTCCTGTGAGGGAACAACAATTATGTTCCAGGTATCTAGAATGTAAAGCTACGGAAGAGGATTAGGGCCACTGGAAAAAAAAAAAGAAGTTAACTGATTTAAAAAAAAAAATTCAGTTTAGTATGGGAAAAAAGTCAGAATTCTGACATTAAAGTCAGAATTCTGACTTTTTTCC